CATCTGTCACAAACACTTCTGCTAAACCAGTCTTCTCTTGATCTTGGGAATTGATATATGTTGTAGTATATGTGGAAGATTCAAATGCACTAATAGTGGTTACCCATCCCCCATTTGTTGCAATCACTTCTGCTAAACCAGTCTTCTCTGCACCTTCAGTCAAATATGTAGCGGTATATGTGGAAGATTCAAATGCACTAATAGTGGTTACCCATTCTCCATCTGTCACAAACACTTCTGCTAAACCAGTCTTCTCTTGATCTTGGGAATTGATATATGTTGTAGTATATGTGGAAGATTCAAATGCACTAATAGTGGTTACCCATACTCCGTCATCTGTCACAAACACTTCTGCTAAACCAGTCTTCTCTTGATCTTGGGAATTGATATATGTTGTAGTATATGTGGAAGATTCAAATGCACTAATAGTGGTTACCCATACTCCATCTGTCACAAACACTTCTGCTAAACCAGTCTTCAATTCACCTCCAGTCAGATATGTAGTAGTATATGTTGTAGATTCAAATACACTAATAGTAGTTACCCATTCTCCATCTGATACAAACACTTCTGCTAAACCAGTCTTCTTCTGTTCATCTGTCGAATATGTTGTAGTATATGTTGTAGATTCAAATGCACTAGTAGTGGTTACCCATTCTCCATCTGCTACAAACACTTCTGCTAGACCAGTCTTCTTCTGTTCATCTGTCGAATATGTTGTAGTATATGTTGTAGATTCAAATGCACTAGTAGTGGTTACCCATTCTCCATCTTCTACAAACACTTCTGCTAAACCAGTCTTCAATTCACCTCCAGTCAGATATGTACTAGTATATGTGGAAGATTCGAATGCACTAGTAGTGGTTACCCATCCCCCCTCTGTTACAAACACTTCAGCTAAACCAGTCTTTAGTTCACCTCCAGTCACATATGTAGTAGTATATGTTGTAGATTGAAATTCACTCGTAATAGTCCACCAACGACTTTCATTATCTGTGACAACCTTTACTACAGCAGTTTTCAGTTCACCATTAAGTTCAACGTATGTAGTTGTATACAACGTCAGTGTAAAATCCAGCGTAGTAGTATACCAGACTTCAGAGCTATCTGTAATCATATGAGTGACCAAAACAATACCAGTCTTAACCACCTTGTCATCAATGTATACCGTTGTATACAAAGTGGGTTCAAAGTCCAGTGTAGTAGTGTACCAGCTTTCATTCGCATCCACAGTAACCAAAACTGCAGCCGTCCTAGTTTCACCATTGCTGTCAATGTAGGTAATTGTATAGAAAGTTGATTCAAAGTCCAGTGTAGTAGTATACCAACTTCCACTGTCATTCATTGTGACCAAAACAACACCAGTCTTAACCTCCTCGTCCTCATCAGTGTATTTGGTGGTATACAAAGTTGCTTCAAAGTACAGTGTGGCAGTATACCAATTTTCCTCATTATCCACAGTGACCAAAACCACCGCCGTGCTAGTTTCATCCTTGCCAATACTGAACGTAGTTGTATACAAAGTTGCTTCAAAGTCCAGTGTAGTAGTGTACCAACTTCCACTGTCATCAATTGTGACCAAAACAACACCTGTTTTCATTAGACCAGTTCCATCAACATAGGCAGTAGTATATTCAGTGAACTGAAATGCACTCGTAGTATTGATGTTATTTACATCGTCGATAAATACCATTCCAGTTTGAACGCCCCCGCTGGGATTGTCATAAATAGTGGTGTAACTAGTGGAGAGTAATGATCTTGTAATCTGTGTCCAATTTCCGTCGGCAATGGTAGTGTACATTATCTCCAACGTTTTAGTTATTTCGGACTCGGATACAATGCTTGTTACAACATGTGGGGTGGCACCAGGATCTTGTGGAAGCTCGTCATCAAGAATACAATTGTGTTTGTTTGAGTTCGCTGGAACGGGGCCCGTGTATACAACTGCATTATTTATCAGTAAACCTGTCAGTGCCTTTTTAAATAAACTTGTGGTGTATCCCATACCAATATCAAAATAATAAAAATCAATTGCGTTACCTATTTTCAAATAACCAGTTTGCGTGTTATAAGTAAAAGAGTTTCCAGTAGGAGTAGTACCGAGGGCAATCGTATTTCCATTGCCGAACCCGACAACTTTATAAGCTAAGTTCTGATTTCCTGTTCTACCCAATAGAGTTCTCTCAACTGTCACCAATGCAGATGGTCCATCCATAACAATTGTTTGATCGAAATCAGCTATTGCGGCCGTGATGTCTAGTGTTGACTCGCCTTGAAGAATAAAGCATCCGCCCCCGACAATTCCAGCTTCGTGTTTGTACTTTTGGTTCTCAAGAATTATAGTACCTTTTTGAGTCATCGTAAACAATGCAGTACGACCGAGATTGAACGAGACATACCCTAAACCACGGACTCTTTGAAAAAATTTTATTAATCCAGTATTCTCCCAATTTGTGGCACGTATTAGTTGACTTGGCATACCAATCAGACCATCTACAGCAATGAATAAGGACCCGGTGTTTTCAAAATCCGTAACCTGAATCCAAAAGTCTATAGCCTCCTCACTACCTAAAGAATTAAACACTACAACACCATGGTTGATGAATGAACCACCTGTAGGTAGACCCGCGAAAGTAGAGGGTCCAAAGTGGGCACCAAAATTAACTAATGTTATATAAAATCCACCATTATTTGTTAAATCAGTAGCAACAAGGGAATAAGTAAAGGTGTATGGTATTTGAAGACTGTAGAAAGCCTTTTCGTGGACAATGTATGTATCTAATTTATACTTATACCCAAAATCATATGTTGGTCCAGTAATGACTTGTGTTGCCCCTATACAAAATTTGAAAAAATTTATCAAAATTAAAATTGATAATATCGTGATCTTCATTGTAAATTGATTATTTTTTTATTCTATGTTAAAATAATACAAGAAGAAGAAGTTAGTTATTAGAAATGGAAGAGAGATCATTGTCCCTAAATATTATAAAAATCTGGGAGTTCATCTTAAGCCAAATATTGGTTCAATCACCTCATGTTCTATCCCAAAGATAGATATCAGGATGTCAATGATAAGCTGAGAATTCATAAATTTGTAGGTAAAAATGTAACATTGTTTTTAATACAAGTTTTGATGAAAATTGTTTGGAAAGTGTTTGTATGAATTGGTTTTATATTTTTTTTGTTTAAGAAAAAAAAAAATTAAATAATATTTCTTCTTTTGCGTATATGAGAACTTTTTCTTTGAATCATTTGGTTGAAGAATTATATTTTTGATTGACTGTATACATTTGTGTTTATTATTATTATTATTATTATTATTATATGTTAATTATTTGTACTATATGTTGTGTTATGTTATTTTATTAATTAATAAATAAAGAACTAAAGAATAAATGGATATTTGATGTAAGATAATTATAATTGAAATAAATTATAATTAAAATAAAATAAAATAAAATATGTCAATAAAAAATAAAATTTAAAAAAAAAGTTTAAAAAATAAATTTTTTAGATCTTGTTTTAAAATACCAAAAAAAAAAAATAAAAAAATTTAAATAATAATTAATAATAATTTAATTGAACAAGAAAAAAAGAATTAAAAAAATATGAAAAAAAAAAAAAAGATTTTACTTACTTTATCACTTTGCAAAAAAAAAAAACAATTAAACCAATAAATAACATAAGATTGATGGTTTATTTGTTAATTATAAATTGATTGAATTTTTGTTAAAAAAAAAAAGACAACATTCAATTAATAAATTCACTCCACTAAGATTCTGGATGTTTTCTTAAATTATGTGGGAAATTTTTGTTATTTAGGATCAGACTTTGTAGTGTTCACTAAGATTTTTCTTGTCAATAATAATAATAAAATATACAACATCAGAATTGACTTCATTGAAATGACCTGAAGGGAATAGGATGCAACATCAACCTCCAGTTTATTAGTTAATTTTTCTTCAAGTGATAGCCACACCTTTGAAACAAATCATTGGAATCACTTGAAATAAATCATTGGAATCACTTGAAACAAATCATTGGAATCACTTGAAACAAATCATTGGAATCACTTGAAACAAATCATTGGAATCACTTGAAACAAATCATTGGAATCACTTGAAACAAATCATTGGAATCACTTGAAATAAATCATTGGAATCACTTGAAATAAATCTATTATTTAAAACAAGGAGGGCGGGGGGAGTGGTTGGATGATCTTAATTCGAATTTGCTTGGTACAATTGAGATTTTGAGGTAACTTCCTGATGTAAGTAATGACCTCATACGATGCAGTTTGAAACTTTGCATGAGAACCGTGGGTTGGTGGTTCTTTATCCTTGTATCATGATATGGTATCCTTTCTTCATGTAGAAAGTCTTGTATCGTGCAGCAAAAAAACAACCGGTTAGAAATGGAACTGTCTGTCTCTAGATTAAAAGATGAAGATGAAGAAAATGTATATCTATAACAAATACAGCATTTCAATATCTATTAAAATCTACTCTCGAACTGGGACAGTTGGAGACTTTGGATAGCAGTGGTAACTTCAACGTTGACCTTGAGATAAAATAGACATCTTTTGTTAAAGAGTTGTAATTGAAGTTATTATTAATATATAATTTACTTCTAGAAAATTTACAGCTTTCAATTAGTACATTCCGACCACTGCTTATATGCAATTTCATTTCCCAATTTTATATCCAGTTCTGACATACAGAAAGACGGTTAATATTCTTGTATACCAGATCTTTGTTTAGTATTGTTGGATATTACTAGTTTTTGTCTTATTCTTGGATAATAAACAAGTCTGATTCAATATTCTTGGATATGCATTCATTGTTTAATATTCTTGAATACTAGCTTATTCATTATTCTTGAATACTAGCTTATACATTATTCTTGGATAATACACCGTGAACTATAATCACATTAGTTTTTTTTTTCTTTAATTAGTTTAATTTCAACTTTCCACCCTCTGTCATTCCCATAGACTCACCTTTTCATCTTTCCACATGTCGACTTTGTCTTGCGTCAATACGCATCAAGTGCCTCGATTCATTATCATTAATTGGATTATCGTTCGCATTCATTGGTCATGGTTCGATAAGTCGTTGGGTTCCTTTCATATCTCAACAGTTTTACAATAGGACCTGCACAAGTTAGGATGTTGCATTTTGATTCTAAATCTCCGCTATTTTGAAATGAGAGATGTATATTCTTCTCTAAGTTTATACCACGTCTTCTTGTAGACTTCCTTCTCTTCGTTTCGAACTTTCTTCCATCAATGACATTCATACATCTTGAAAATAATCCAGAAAAAACCTACTTGGGGATATTCATAATATGTAACTTGTAAATGTCTGTATGGGAAATTTAATTCGCAAAAGCTCATATAACCTGGCTTGTAGTCGACTGAGCCTTCCATGAAAACAACGAGCCGCTAATTGATGCATATATGATCCCATTAACGCGTTTGTTTGTGTACTTGCTGTTGGTGAGTTGATGATGCCGTTTTCTGAGCTTGTATGAATATATCGCGTATAATATAGCAGGAAATGAATAGCATATCATAATTCCTCTAATCAAATCCATACATTCTGTCAAAGCTTTGAAATCTTTGTTATAATCGATAATCAGACTGGTCGCGAGTCATATTCTAAGACAGAGTTATTTGCAGATGACTTGCTTCACTTGAACAATTCTTCACTATCAGTTATCAAGCTTATGATTTAACGTCTGGTAAAGTATGGAACTGAAACCCTGTAATAATGGTTGTCGGTGTCCTGAGTTGTATCCTATATTATCACATCTCTCAAATAACAAAATTGTAGACTTACTGCCCCATTGTCTATTATTGTTAGAAGTATGTTTTGTGAACTGGAATATATCTAAGTGTCTTTATAAACCTTTGTTGTGATCATGATCTGAATAATAATGCTATCAAAAACAATATTTATGAAAAAAATTAGACTATCAATTAAACCATTCTTCTTTTTTTCTAGAATAATAACCTTGCAAGTTCACATGACATCTAGATTCTGGAAATATTACTCCTTCTATAGTTTTGATATGGATGTTGCACAATCTCTACTCTCTCGTGTACAATACCATCCATTCGCTCGTAGAAACAAGAATACTTGCACTAGACTACTTAACCACTCATTCTTAGTAGTTGATTCCTAGTTTATGAGACCAATGTAGGATAGTCTAGGAAAGTACAAGCAATATTTAAAGTCAGCATGATAGTTGAAGGCTCTATAATTAATGAAATTCTTATGAAAAACTATCAAGGCCCCTGAAATCTCAAAAAAAAAAAAATTGTATTAAATTATAAAATTTTATTAATGAACTATCTCAATTCGAATCACTTTTGTAGAAAATTTCACAGATATTTATACTCAGATCCTCCAATTTTTATTAATTAAATGGTTAGTTATAACGTGTAATTATTGCCATTCGATTGTATTCTCTAATACACACAAAGTGCTTGACTGTATTCTTTCTCAATAGTGAAGCATGGAATGGGTTGACCTCACCGAAACACATTCATATCTTATATGATATAGCACTTTACTTAGTATCCTTGGTGCGTTCTCTCGGAAAACCTGAATCTTTAATGACAAGGGAATTCATAAAAAGACAAACAGCTATAAATCTATTTTTAAATTCAATCATGATAAATCGAGTTTATGAAATGTTGTATTAATTACCTATTTACTACACTAAATAAGAAAGAACAAAGACTATCGCAAAAAGTCTCTTAAATAAGACCCCAATTTTGTTGCACCATCTTCTAAAGCATCTTTCAAAACACCTAAATCTTCATTGGCATTTCCCGAGAATCTAGATGCAAAATCTCTTGCAGTTGCTTCCAAATCTCCTAAACCTACGGATCCCCCTCTTCCACGACCAGCGCTAGATGAGCCACTCCCATTCTGCTCTTCATCTTCACCAAAATAAGATGCCGATGAAATTGATTGTGCTCCACTGAAAGATTGTAATTTTGCTTTGGCTTCATTCTTAGCTTGTTCGTCAAAACGAGGACCTCTTCCAAAATATTCATCAGAGGAGATAGCCTTCTGTGTTCCGTATTTAGTTGCAACTTGGCCAGTATATTTCACTTCTTTATATTTCTTGGTGGAGTTCGAACCAACTACATTTTCCCCTTGAGTCATACCAAACCCCAATTTTTGAAATTGTTGAGTTGTTTCCTGGATTGGATTTGATGCTTGAGGTGATGATAATGATTCTTCCCCCTTTGTTTTATTTCCCAATGATAACGAACTAACGGATTTCTTTGCCACTGTCGAACTTGAAGCTACCGAGTTAGAAACTGATTCGTTTGGATTATATCCTAATTTCATAGCTTCTTCTGCTTCCTTCTTTGCTTGTTTTTCCAACGCTTCAAAATCGATATCTTCTGCCTCATTCTTATTAATTCGTTTTGTTGCTAATCGAGCACTCCTAGGACCATTGCCCTTGCTTGATAAAATTGATTTCTTGGCTCCAACAGCAGTACTTGGGCTGCTATTGTTTCTTAATCTTGAGGTAGTACGAATTGGTACTGGTTTCTTCTTGATAGTGGTCAAGTCGTCTGTAGATGCATTAGGAGTAGCATTCCTAGAAGATATTGGTGATGGAGTTGAATTAACTGGCTTAGTCCAATTTGAAAAAAAATCGTCAGTAGATTCAGCTGCAGAATCTGACAATTCTAAATTATCGGTAGTATCTTCTAAAGTAACAATATCTGGATGCTTCAAGGCATCTTCTGTTGCTTTTTGTTTTAATTTTTCTTTATATTTACTTGCCACTGGAGAATTATATTTAGCCACTGCATCAATACCATGATTCTTATTAACAAATTGAGATCCACCATGTTTCATAAAGAAATCTTTAGCATGTTGATTTCCCCCATATTTGAAGTTTCTTAATTGAATACGTTGCCATGAATCTAAATTGGAAGATTTGACAAATGATACATGAACTCCCAAATTTCTATGAACTGCTGAACATTCTAAACATAATAAAATCCCAAATGGAATTGATGTCCAAGTTGGGTTCTTATTGGGACAATCAAAACAAACTTGATTAGCAGGATCTTTTCTTAACCTCTCAAAGATCTTTGCAGCTTCTTCTTTAGTGGCAAAGTTATCAGACATGATTTTCTCAGTTAGATTTGTTAAATACTAAAAATTGACAAATAAAAGCTTTTAATTAAATTTCGATGTATTAATTTCTTTAAAGATTTAACCAACGAACAAACAAACAAAGAGAGAGAGAGAGACAGAAAGATAGAAATCAAACGAAAAAAGAAAAAAGAAAAAAAAAAGAAAATTGGTGACGTGTACTTACCATTGGCTCACGTGATAATAAAACAGTTATAACCTATCTATTATCATTCAAATTAATCAAGTAACCCTTTCAATGTTTTCCGTTATAAATATATGAATTAAGTAAATAAAACTGAAATCTCTATGAAAAAAAAAGGAAAACTATATACATATAATCAAGTCTTTTCTCCCCCATTTATTTTTAATGGAAAGGTCTTGAACCACCACGAGCAAATTCAACAATCTTCCAACCTTCTGTTACTTTATTATCAAATTCTTCTGGGATTCTTGTCAAAACCATGGCATAAGTACTTAATTGAATATGATCTTCAGTACCTGCAGCAATTTCACCAGTCTTTGCCTTTCTGTATAAATGAATCTCTTGGGCACGACAAGAAACAACAACAACTGGGACTTCATTTGGTGGTAAACTCTTACAAGTGACAATTTCAACACCTCTAATATCCAAGATTTTGCTATCAGAAAAGAGTCCTTGTTGTATGAATTGTTTATTATTGGCTTGCCAGACATTGAAAGGAGCCTCACTTAACCATTCCTTTAATACTTTATCATCATTCTTGATATAAGCATCCAATACTTCAGGAACAATATAATTGGTTAAAGTTCTTTGGAAATCGGTCAATTTGAATGATGGGTCCATCAATTTAAGTTGTTTGATTACTCGAGCTTGTTCTGTTTCGGAGAAGAATCCAGTTACTTTTTCAATGATTGTACGAAGAAGAGAAATTAAACCATTTTCTGATTCTTCCCATTTTTCTTGTAAAACACTAACACCACGGCCAACAGGAGTTTTCAATTTGAAATTTTCCCATTTTTCACCAACAGTAGGACCAGTAGGTTTATGTTCAGTGGCAACTAATGCACCACCAGCATCTTCATTTTCTCTCACTGGAGCTTGATATCCTTCTTTTAATTTTCTTTCTATTTCCTTTTTACGTAATGCTTCACGTTGTTCTTTTGTCAAAAATCCCCCATAAGCAGTAGATGATCCGTCATCAATCACTTCAGAAACATCTTTGTATACTTGGGTTTTTCTAACTGGTTCAAATGCTTTATCAGCAACATCGGCTGTAACTTTCACAGTGGTTCTTACTCCTTTACCAACTGGGGAATCCCAAGCTTTGACAGCAACATCACCCACGGCATCAGCAGTTTTTTTCACCACTTTTCCAGCAGCAGAAGTACCCATTTGAGCTTTAGCATAAGCTTCCTTTGCCTTTTTGAAAGCTTCTGATTCAGCAACTCTTCCTGATTCATCTTGTAAAGCTTTAATATTTTCTTTTAATTCATTGGATTTCTTAACTTCTTGTTTAAAAGTATCCAAGAAAACCTTTAAAGGAGATTCACTAGATGGTGGCTTATCATTAAAGTTCACATTGGAATAATGGAAAGAACGTACTGATGTAACAGGGATTGTTAATCTAGTTCTAGAAACTCCAGTAAATTTATAATTGTTCTTTATTATTGATGATCTCAACATGCTAGTTTATTTTCGTATTGTGTGATATTTTATTATATAAACTGAAAAACCAGATTGAGTGTTAATGGGGTTTGGGTATGGACTATGTACAGAATGTAAGAGTGGGTTGTCTAACAAATATTTGAATGATTAGTTAGTTAGTTGGTAATTTGATAGATGAATACCAAAAGGGCAAAAAAAGAAAAACTGAAAAAAAAAAACTTCATCGAACGATGTAACATGTAAAATAATATTAACCTGTAAAAACCGCTTTTGGTCGTGTAAAGGTGATTCAAATTATATCAATCAAAAGTTAACTACCTACACACAACAACAACAACAACAACAACAACAACAGTCATATAAATGGAAATCTGTATGTCAATGAAACAAGGGTTTATATATCAAACATTTAAGTTTCATACATCTACTAGATTTGACGATGTGATGGGTATCACACCAGAAAGGAAGGTCCCTTCAACATAAGTCTTGGGATCTACTTTGATTGACTTTCATTCCTATAGGCCCTTCTCTCTCAATCTCACCCAATCTCACTATAACTCTCTATAGCACACACATACACACACTATGTCTCTCCTTCTCTCTCTCTCCTTCTATTATTCCGTACTATATTTAGTGAAATATATCCATTCTATAAAGGGAACAATTCAAAGTATCAATGAATTAAAAGTTGAATTTTCCATCATGGGTTTATTTATTTTCGGTCGATCTCTTTGACTCTGATAAGTTTTCTCAAAACTTTTATAACTAAAGCTAGTTTAATTTTTAGTAAACCAATCGAATTACATCTATCAAAATGTCTAATGATGATATAATATCATCTTTATATCCACCTCCACCTCCATATGTTAAATTCTTTACTAATGAAAACCTAAACCAATTAGATATTTGGAAGAATGACCAACAACAACAACAACAACAACAATCAGATATCACACCTCCAGGCGTACTACGTTTTCTTATACCTCCAAAACCACCTGCCGGTTCTCATTATAGAGGATATGGTAACATTTGGTCATTTGATGATAAATTGCCAAGTCTTAAGGATTCAAATTGGGAACAATTATATAAAGACAATGATGAATTAATCACTTCAGAAACAAAGATTCAAGAATTACATAAATTAATGGATTCTTTATTATTAAACTTCTTAGAACTAATAGGGATAATGTCCATTGATCCTCAACAATTCGAATCAAAAGTTAAACACATTTCCTTAATTTTAATTAATATAAATCATTTATTAAATACTTATAGACCTCATCAATCAAGAGAAAGTTTGATTATGTTATTAAGAAAACAAATTGATTGTAAAAAATTGGAAATAGATACAATCGATAAAGTAATAAATGATGTTAAGTCAAAAATATTTGCATTGACCAATGATATATCAGATTCAAATCAAATCAAATCAAATTCCAATCAAAATCTTGATAATAAACAATTACAAATGAACTCAATAATAAATAAGTTATTAGATAATATTTAGAGTGTATTAATTCTTTGGTATAAAACTTTAAATAAAGAGACAACTTTCTATCTAAAACAAATCCAAGAGATCTTCTGTTATTTTTGAACTAGATTTCGCATTGATATTAGAATGTTGAGATTGAACTTGAGAACTTTGATTGAACATGCTAAAAATATCATCCGATTGTTGAGCAGAAGCACCGATTGCTTGTTGTTGCTCTTGCCATGGTTGACCTTGCTGACGAGGTGCCAGTGCAGGTGTAGTAAACAAGTCGTTTAACTCATCCAACAAACTTCCAACCCCATTCTTGTCATCATTATCCATACTATCTTCGTCGTCATCAAAGTCAAGCAAGTTTTCATTCTTAGCATTACTAATAATCTCTTGTTTCGCCATTGTAGTTAAATCTTCAATCCCACTGTCTGTACCATTCTTCCGCATTGAAACTTTATTATATGCATCCGGATCTATAAACGTTTTTGCAGGTTTATGATATACCGATGACAATGTAGATAATTCATCTATTAATGTTTCTAAAACAACCGGATTAAAAGATGAAATGGTTGTTTTAATGGGTGGCAATTTTGCCAAAATAATTTTCGATTGTGATTCAACTGAAGATGTAGATAATAATCTCCAATAAATATATGCTTTATCTCTAATATCAGCATTTTCACATTCTTTAGTAGCTAATTCTAAAACCTTTTGTAATAATGTTGAATATTGTTGTTGCTGGTTATTCTTTTGAAGTTCAAGGTTAACCTTGACAATTGCGGTCAATATATTTAATTGAATAGTGGTATCATAATCCAAAAATCCTTCAATCAATGTCGACAATTTATCATATAATCCACTGAAATATTTAGGATATTCTCCTAAAAGCCAAATATACCCCGACAATGATTCAGGACCATTTAATTCTTCAATATGATTAGAAATTACTGGAATAATCAAAGTGGTAATATCATTCTTACCAGGATAACGTCTCAAAATATTTGACAAAACAACCACCGATTCATTAATAATTAAATCTCCACCTCTTTGATCGATAATTTCATTTAATAAATTGACTGATTTGACTACACAAGCAGATAACTTAATTGCAACTGACCCAATTGATTTAATGGCTTTAGTAACTAAAGCTGGTTCAAATTCCATAGCATATTCTTTTAATTCTCCCAACAATAGACTACTATTGGCATCATTCGCTAATCTAATCATGATTTCAAGTTTTTCCAATTTAAGATATAATGGATCAGAATATTTGATAAAAAATACTCTTAATTCTTTTGATAATACTTGAGGATATTTTTCCAATATAATTCTAATATTTTTCAATCCAACATATTGAGCTTCTGGAATTGAGGAACTAACTAATGAAACCAAAGGTGCAGACAATTTCTTAAGAACTTGATTTCTTTGTGAAGTAACTGGAATAACGCCAATATGATGAATAATGGCTTTAATTGAACTCAATACAACTGATGGGTTAACATGTTGTAATTGTGGAGTTACTCTTTCGATTATATGATTGACTTCTTCTACATTAGTAGTATGATATTCACTTAAGGTGGTTAAAATGGTAATTCTCCCCCATTCTGTACATTCATTAAGACATAATAATAAATTTTTAATAATTTCACGATCAATATCAATTATATGCAAATTAGAATCAGTATTCATATCTCTAATTTCAAATAAAGCATTAAGTGAATTAGCTACAACCATTGGATTTGAATCTTTAATTAAATTCTTTAATTGATCTAAAAATCCAAATTCTATACACATTTCTGGATTTAAATCAAATAATTTAGCAACACAAATAGCAGCCGTTTTTCTAACATATGGATTTTCATCCTTCAATGTTCTTTGTAAAGGAATTTCCATATAATCAACCATCTTGGATACTCTTATACACCCCATTGTTCTAATTGCTAAAGCTCTAATTAAAGGATTTGGATCTTCAGTATCTTGAACAAAAGTATTTACCGCTAATATACAAAGTTCAGGATGAGTTTTTGCATAATTCATCAAATATAAATAAACCAATTTCTTCTGTTCTAAATCATAAGTAGCAATATTCTTTAAAACATCTGGAAATAATGAACTAACATCTTTACCAATTGTCATTGCTTGAATTACTCGTTGAATAGCATCTTTACGTTCATGTTTATATTGTGATACTAATCCATTTCTCAATTCAAAAGTTTCACCCTTTCTTGGACCAGCAAGGAAACTTCTAAGCTTCTTCTCAAGGATACTATTGACCTTGTTAAGATTCATGATCCTTTGAAGTTTAAATTGATTGATTTGATTGATCAATTAAGATAAGAAGAAAACTTTTTCAACGTTGTAGTTTAAATTTAACAACAATCAGTTTGACCACCAAAAAAACAAAATATAGGTGAATAAAATTCAACCACGTGATTTCATTGAAAACTGAACAACTCTTTTAACAAACAGTAAAGAATCCCATTCTTTTAATCACAGTTAGAACATTTAATCATGGCTACTTATGGAAGGAAAAACCATCGGAAACGAAACCGAATATCTTTGGAATTTTCAAGTGATATTGAACAAGAACAAGACACCCCAATAATACAAGATCATCAACAGAAGATATTAGACAACAAATCTTCTAAAAAGCCAAAAGAATCTAATACAAACAACCAGGATTCTAGATCTCCTAAAAGGTACTGCAGGGTTGTTAATTCGACACACAATGCTCAGATCAACGCATCACTACCTGTTGGAAGCATACGAGTAAAGAATACAATCAGTTCACCACCGCTGACGCGTTCTGGCCCTGCGGCAGAAGCAAATAGTCAGTCAAACACTACTCCGACTACCACCAAAGGCCGAAACACGTGGGGCTTATTATTTGATGGTATAGAAGATGAAGAACCGCGTCGACCGGCAGTATGGTCCTCAGCTGATACCAAATCACAAGAAAACCAAAAGAAATCAAATAGAGACTATGGGATATCGACCCTGAAGAGAGACCCATTGAAAGCTAAAAAATCAAAAACAATAAAGAAAACCAAAATAAGGGACAAGAAAAGTGTTTGGAATGAATTATTTGATTCCATTGAAGAACCCCAACCCCCTCCATTAATTATATCTTCGTGGGATGATGTTAAAATAATACCCAAAGCTAAATTAAGTAACGAAACACTGGAATTAGAAACGAGTGCACTCGAGATTGAATTAGAATTTAAATCATTATTTGAGAATCAGACAACCAATGAAGCCATTCCTACAAATAATTCGGAGAGTTTTAACCCGATGAAAAATCAACCCGATAGTAGTGAATGCAATGGCAGAACATATGGCCAATATAGGACGTTGTTATTATCCGATAATGAAGCCCAAATAAAAGACGAAAATGAAGATATTAAGAAAGAATTTCTGACTAAGATCAGTGACGAACTTGATTTCAATCTTGACTCAGTAGTTAATATAAATGATATGAGAGTGTCAGGGAAATTAGCCCAAGACAATGATGAAGTCGACTATATTATTGAAGGATTGGGCATGAAATTGTCGTCTCATCAAACGGTAGTAATTTCAACTTTACTAGAACTTGCCATTCTAATCATTGACAATTCAAACAAGCTTGTATCATTTTTAGATAGAATATGTTCTCGACTTCAAAACATACTTAGGGAATCCAATTCCAAAGAAACAAAACTTGTCTGCATAAATATTTGTTTACTTTATGAGAGATTTGGTAGTAATATTAAGGTTTTGGAACTGTTTAAGAGTCTACGAGGAGAGATTTTGACAGGCTTGGCCATTGATATCGATCTCAGTGAATTTCTGAGAGTTAATCGAAGTATGGTCCAAAAACTACTTTCCTTTCACGAATCATATGTTTTGACTTATTTGGAAATATTAAAGAGTTATGATTTAATTGATTGGAATGTGTGTCTTTCAATATTAGACTTAGTGAATACAGGGATGCAAGAAAGTGGATTAGTTGAGTACATAGAGGAATATTTCCAACATTCTAAACCCATTCAAATAGAAATTAACCGTTTTCATAAACTTTTCCAGTCTACTTTTCTAAGAATAGAAAATGATGATATTACCGAGCATGATTTGACTATAATAAGAGCTTTGGTTCTTCTATCTACAAACTACGACAAACAAGCATTTTGTGAAATATATGATCCTGGATGGGTATCCAGTATGCTCAAGTATATCAATCATTCAAGTTGTGATAATGATCTTTCAAAAAATTTGACTTTGTGTCTAGTCGGGGTGCTTGTCAATCTAGTTGAATGGGACTTGCTAGAATTGAGAGATTTTACGGTCATAAGCAATTGTATTCAAAGAATCAATGAATTACAATCGAAGAATGATCAAGAAATATTCAGACATATACTGGGGTACCTTGCTCTTGTCTTGACTCATTTGAAAATCAAATATGGGGATCTAATAGAAATTCCATCCTCTTTACTACTTCAACAAGTAATGAAATTTAAACAGGAAATTCATACACAAAAGGGATTAAATGATAAAGTGAGTGGTTTACTTCAGCTTCTTGGCACTACTTCATGAAATCTCATTTTCCTTTTATATTCTTTTATTTCACTCATAAAATAACATGTATATGTATTAATCATAGAATAATAAACGTATAAATATATATACTGTAATATCCTATTAAACAAAAACTCTTTGGAAATGAAAAACTTTGCAAGATGACTAACAAAAATAAAAATAAAAAAGGTTTGTTAACCAATCATCATATCAAATTGAACAATATTTGATCCATCTATCCAAAACCTAACTTTTCAATGGATGATATCGTTTCATTCTTTTTGTTTCTTTTATTCTCTTTCTTAAAACAAAAAGTGACTTTACTTTTCTTTAATACCTAAGATGGCTCTTACAGTGTAAAATAATGGAATGGCAGTAGTAACTGCGAATAAACCATAGAATGGGTAGACGAGTGCCTTAGATTTTGGACCTCTTAACCATAATGGTTGTTTAGAAGCTTGATATCTTCTTTGTAAGTTAATAACTCTTTGTGGATCCATATTGTCTTTATTTATTTATGTTAGTTGGTTTATACTCAATTGATGTTATAGAAACAACAAACAATTAGTTACTTACTTTAAATTGGTTAGTTAGTTGTATAAAAATGATAAATTTATTAAAAGAATTTGTCAGTTGATTATTTATTTTTTCATTGTTAATTACACAGTTGTCTGTCTGTCTTTTTTTTTCCTACTTAATTTTATTGGTTGGATGTATTTGAACATTTTTACACGACTCCTTACCCCATATAATAATAATAATAATAATACATTTTCATTTCTCTACTAAATATTTAAAAACCTACAAATACACAAGAATACTCACAATCTAATAATAACCATCGTCATCTTGACCGTAATCGTCATCGCCTTGGCCATAATCATCATCTTGCCCATAGTCATCGCCTTGATCATAGTCATCACCTTGACCATACCCATCATCTTGCCCATAGTCATCGCGATCATAGTCATCACCTTGATCATAGTCATCATCTTGAGCGGCTTCTTCAAAACTATCTTGTGGATCGTGATATTCATCTCCTTCATATGTATGCTCCTGCATGTCATTATCCAGATCTACCCCATCATAATGATTGTCTGGCTCACACCCGGCCCCATTTTGATCATCATCCAAACTCTCATACTGAGCATTCTGACTATGTAGGTCATTTTGATCATCATCCTGACTTTCATCCAGATCTAAAATTTCATAGTGGGTAGCTTGAGTTCGTTCTTCTTGATCTTCTTGATTTCTTCCACCCTCAAACCTTTGATGGTTAGCATCATTGTCACTATCATCATCGTCATCTATAACCATTGCACGAGATCGACCCACCAAGATCTCAGAGTCATCTGAATCATCCGATTGAAAATGTGGATTCCCCTCGCGCCTATCTCCATAGAATTGATCCAATGCATCACGTACATCGTCCGAATCATAGAATTCATCATCATCTTCTCCACTCAATTCAATTACTTCCCTTTCAACATCAGATTCGGCACTTTCAAACCCATTCCAATCGTCATGGATGTAAGATGATGTCCTTACTTCGTGTAAATCATTTTCGTCATCGCTTGATAGAATATCATTGGTTATTCCACTACTCCTAAGCAATTCCTCGGTATTTATATCGCCAATACTTCGGCTATCTATAAAACTATCGTCTGAATCATAAGCATTAATCTCAAGATCAGCATTAGATGCATCTTCAAAATCCTCTTCATCTTCATCTTCAAATACTTCTGAATGTCGTGGGATTCGAAAACGAGTACCACAATGTTGACATATAGTTCCATGAGCTTCCCAATGACAATTTCCACATCGAGCAACTCCATCAGAATCGTCGATTATTGTTAATGTAGTATTGAATAAATTCCCAAAAAGTTGTTTATGTTTTATATCATGTTTATAACCTTTTTCGGCATCTTCTTTATGTTTCACAAGATATTCATGTTGTTTAGTATCTTGTTGATTAGTTTCTATCAATAAATCTAGTATCCCTTTCGATATTTCTTGAAGTTGAACATTCAATTTTGGTTTATGTTGTATCTCATGTCTACAAGAAGGACAATTCATTTTTGTTTTAAACCATTGATGAACACACGCATAACAATATGAATGACCACATTCTGCGGTTACAGGTACAACCATTATTTCGGAACAGATTGTACATTCCATAGTATTATATATTTTTGCAAGTAATGAACTAGTCAAGGCATGGTCCTTTCAAGAAAGGTAGTTAGTAAAACTCCATTTTGCCACTTATTTCCATCTTTGTTTCTTTCTTAAGAAACAAAAACAAAGAGTATATGATTTCGACATACCATATCCTGCCATACTTTAATTCCATCGACGTGTTCTCCCATGATAAGTTGAATATATTTTTGTAGACGATCAACAATTTATGGATAAGAGATGGGATTGGTTTTTATTTTTTGTAAATTTAATTTATTTTTATTCACTGCCCAACCGATAGATAGACAAGTGTGAAACAGAAAATTAATAAACACAATGAAAACGCTACCAATTGAAAATCAATGTGTACTAACAATGAAAACGCTACCAATTGAAAATCAATGTGTACTAACAAAGAAGATTCTTCAAGTCAACCAGATTAGGATTGAATATAAAATGCTGGATTCCTTTGATTCAAATGTCCCCGTCTAACTATTAGAGAAAGGGACTACGTAATGAATTAAGAGATCACCATACCTTTAATATATTCACAGTTTACGGAATTGCGTTAGAAATCTACAAACTTCCCAAGTATCTGGGTCTTTTGATGAATCTCCTATATATTATTGTATAATATGATTATTAAATACGAACTATACTGTCATTTAGTAGGGCCATTTCTCATAAAGAAGAAATCAAATTAGTATTGTATCATACAAACTTTTTCTCCTGGAGGTTTTATTTGTCTGTATTATTATTATGATGCATTTTGCAGCCATAATTAATAATTTACTTCATATTAAATATTAAACTCCTATTAGTTGGTGGCTAATCTTTCAAATGAATAAATAGGTTTCCAAATAACCCATTCAATTCTAATGCATTATCAAACGCAATAAATCGCTCTCTTCTACTCAATATCAATCGACGTCTTTCTTCATCATCAACAGTATGATCAGATAAAAATTCAAAAAAATTATCAACAATTTCATTCAAGGTATAATTTAAGATTGGTGCATTTGTAACTATAGTTCGACAATATGGACAAATTAACTCAGTTCTAAACCATTTGGAAATACAATTATAACAAAAGGAATGGCCACATCTTATAGTTACTGGTTTACAAAGAACTTCAGTACATATTGAACATTCAATTGTAAAACTTAAATCATAAAATAATTTGATTGTAAGATCAGGATGCTAAAAAGTCTTAGTCAATATATTCCTTTAACTATATGTTTATAAATTTTCATCATACAATATCATCCCAATCCCAGTTGGAATGTTCAAAGAATGAATATTGATTACACATTTTAATCACCCCACACCACTCTAATCAATGGTAAAAGAGAAAGATATTTATGGGCTTATTATTATTTATACTTCTAATTACGTTGGACCCTCCCCCAAAATATATTAAACTCTCTATAGTTACTGGTTTTAGTATTTTATTTTACTATCATATTTATACAGGTGTTTATTATATCATTATTTGTTATTCTTTCCTCAATTTTATTTACCTAGTTATTAGCCTTCCAATTTCGTAAAAGTTTAACAAATTCAACAATCTCTTTAGGTATATTTACATCATCTTCATTCAAACGATCATTAACTTCTTTAAAAAAACTGGTGAATTGATTTTTTATTTGCAAAAGTCTTTCTTTATTATGATATCTCCGAGTTTCTGCAGATTTTAATTCATGAGAAATTTTCGTAAGTAATTGTGGTAGAATTGGTTTTATAGTAATGGTATCAATTGGAAAGTTTTCCATGGCTTGTTCCATTTTATCATATTGTTGAGTATAAAGATATGTAAGCATTCTTCGATAAAATCTTAAAATTTGAACACTATCATTTAAATCGAATTCTTCAATTGAATCAAGTAAATATTCTGCTTCTTTATGCATATGAAGTTCAGTTAATTGCAGCCAAAATGAAAAAATCTGTCTTACAGTTAATCGATCTTTATGTTCATTAAAATATGTTCGGAATCCTTCTTTTCCAATATTGTTTCGGTTTTTATATAAGATTTTCAATTCTAAATTAGTCATATTTTGTTCATTATCAAGACGACATTTTCTTAATAAATCATTAATAATCATACATTGTTCTTCAGTACAAAAAGGAATTGTTTCATGAAAAAGTTGATAATTAGGTCGGAATCCTTCACTTACCAAAAAAATAAACCCAGTATGAACTCTAAATTTAACCTGGTCCATAAATTCTTTATGATCCACTTTCCCATTCCAAATTATCCTTCTCCAGAACTTTTTATGATATCTATCAGCATCCAAATTTCTTTTGTTATAACTACGTTCAACGTGATATCGGCTATTATACGAAGAAATATTAAGTAGTTCCTTCATCGATTCTCTTGAACTCGATTCAACTACTAAGCCCTTTAATTCTTTAGAAAATTGTTCAGCATGTTTCGGATAATCCTTTGCCATAGAAAGTAAAATAGGTCGAAGATATCTTGTTCGATAAGGGAACAATGGCATGGTAGCTTGTAAGAAATCTTTCAAATCCCGGAAATTTCCAATTCTACTAAAATAATCCATCACCATTTCGAAAAATATTGGCTCTATTTTGCCTATTTTACTTTTAACTTGTTTTAAAATATATTGTATCAGATTCATATCCATTTTTCTACTGAAAAAATACATCCAGGTTATATAAAATTCTTCAAGATCTTTTATTTCAGTAGGGGCAAATGATTCAATGTTATCCAAATCATCCTTGGTAATTTCCGCCGTAAGTGAAAACGGCCTTCTTGGTCTAATAACTTCCCATTCATACGAAGCAGATAGTATCAAATAATGGTCAGAATATCCCAGTTTCTTTATAAGCCGTTTTATTTCCGAAAGTTCAAGTGGAGTTCCGTATTTATAATATTCTCTTAACAACATGGCCCATGATTTGGCACTCAATGGTTCACATCTAGGTGAATTGATCCAAACATTTAATATATATTGTAGGTTTTCAAAAAGGGATTGATGAGATATCATTTCAAATAATATTGTCCGGAAAAGCACTTCTGGTAAATTGTAATTAGTACTTATAATTGCTCGTTGAAATAAAATCTTAGCTTCTTGAATCCTATGTTGTACAATATATGAAGATACTGCATAAGCTATTGATGCAGGATCCAATTCATATAAATGGTCTTTTATTAAATCCTCGAGAACATTCACTTGATTCGCATGATAACAAAGCCATATGCGTCGTCTGAAATATAACGGGGATGGTGGAGCTGTTCTCACTACTTTATATATTTCCCAGATTCTATCATAAACTGACCGGAAAGTATTCTCTTCAATTCTTATATCTTTACATGCTGCATGATATGGAAGTTCAATTAATCTCTTTTCACCAAGCCGAGGAACAAAATTAGGTATCGTTTCAAATGCCTTTTCTATAATATACAATGTCTCTTCTGGGTTTCTATCTCGAGAATCTTTTTGTAGGAGACGTAGACCTTTTAAATATGGTGTGGAGCAAGCTTCTTTTATTTCTTCAGTTCTTGGATTCGGATGTTCTGCCTCATATTGTTCAATAAATGATTTGGACGGTGATCTTCTTCCTCCAAGAAATAAATGTGGCGGTGAATAATTCTTCCATTTTATATCTGGTGGTGGGGAGGTTATTGTTTGAGGATGATATGCAGTAAAGAAATCAACCAGCGTAGGACGATAATTCCGTATTGATTGAGTGGTTCCACTGTAATGGATATGAGACAGTATTATATACCTTGTACCCCTTCGGAGTTGAGCCTTCAATGTCAACATTACCACAACTCTTAGTTGATAATATTAAGAAACTGTCTTTCAAATGGTGGACTAAAAAATGGGTATACTTATAAATTTTTGCAAAGGAAAAGAATGGAAGGGGGTATAAAAGTCAATCAATAAATCAAAAAAGTCTTGGTGGTTGGTTGGTTATATATATATACAGGATGAATTGATTAATTGATATTGTGTTTTTGTTAGAATGTTGCTTACTAAAAAGATCCAATAGAATTGAGTTAAAGAAGTTTTTTCGATTTTTATTTTTTTTTAGAACTAAAAGAGAGTGAATCAAAAATAAATGGTGCAAGAAGATTTAGAAAGAAGAAAAAGGGTAGTGTACAACGGGATAAATTATTTTTCACTTTTTGAACTCAATTGGCTGCAAATAAATTATGAGAAAAGAAAGCAAATAAACATTGAATCTTGTTATCCAAACAATGCCAATAAATATCTTTCACCCATGAGATTTGGTGATTCTTTGAAACAATTTTTGATCTTTTTAAGTTTTGTCAGGTTGAAAAATGTTGACGTTTTACATATTGCACAATAGTAAAATTGAACAGAAATCTTCAACTTAACGATAGAAGACTTCATTGGTTATTGTTGGCTTTCAATATTAGTAATAACTTAGTAACTTCATGAATGAATTATTATGCTTTTTTTTTTAGTGTATCTTATTTAATTGTAAGAGGTATATCTGGTTAATTTGTCAAATCTTCTTGACGCTTTTTTTTTTTCTTACATTTTTCGTTCATAAATTGCAGAAAATCTCTAAAAGATGCAATTTTAAAAAAAGCTTTAATGTGTGGTTATGTCTATGAGGTATAATCTTCAATTATGTTCTGACAATTAAAAATGCAAAATTTAGGTTTATATTAGTTGGGTTTGATTTGTTTTTATACGCTATCATCTGTACGTGGGCTACTTTTTTTTTTTTTTACAAAGTAGACATTTATTTTACAATTGAAGCGAAATGTCGTCTAAAAAGAAACGACAATAAAAATTGATTGTTTCTCGTAAAATTTTCAACGGCTCGTAAAAATAAATCAACCTATATGCAGTCCACATGAAAATTTTCACTACTGACAAATCCCCGGTAAATTTCACAAAAATATCAATTGGTTCTGTGGTCTAGTTGGTTATGGCATCTGCTTAACACGCAGAACGTCCCCAGTTCGATCCTGGGCAGAATCATTTTTTGCATCTCTAGGGCTACGGAAGTGAAGACCATGAAGCTAGATGACTATTTTTCACTGAAATTAGATGTGAATAATATTTGGTGAATGTTTGATATTGTTTTTCTTCTTATCTTCTTATTATGTCTTAGCTATTGGAAAAATAGTTCATTACATCAGAATGGTTATATATTGTGATTTTCATAGACCATGTAAGTTAGAACCTTTTAGAAATGAAGATTCCTAAAGTTGATGGTCAAACAGACGTTACAACATAAATTGTTGGCGACATTCTAAAAATGTCGTCGTTAGGGGTGGTTGAAAAAAAAAAACACGAAATTAACGGACCACTACTTGCTCCCTATTGACTTTCTATCCAATAAACGCAATGATGTCCTTTCCAAAAGCACATTTGATTTCCAAACGATTCTTCTCACAATCAAGAATCTATTCCCAAATAAATCTCACATTTTTCACCAAGGATACATGTATGCTATGTACCAATGCCAAGGGGATACTTGAAACTACCCTTAAATTACCTAGTTTACAAGATCAAAAGATTAATCTAAATACCATAGATATAATGAAACCAGAGAATCAAGAATGGTATGATAAGTATTGCTATGATGTTCCTGTATTGCATGTGGATAGACAGGGTCAAAAGAAGCCAGTTAAGTTTATGCATTATTTTTATGTGGATAAGTTAGAAGAAGAATTTAAGAAATAATCGATACCATCCATTCTATTAGGATTATAGTAATGACTAGAATCGTATATTATAATTGTTACCCTAACTGGAATGTTCTATATATTTTTTTGATAACTTTCACACATATCGTACAAACGGCAAATCACTTGTATATAAAACGTTTTAATCACCTTGTATAAAAAAACTGGTATCTCGATCAAGGAATATACGGAGAAGAGATGTCGAAGCTAAAGTAATAATCTTTTAACTTATTCTAAGTAAACTATTAATTTCAAGATTTATAAATAAATACCAAAAAACTAAAACTAAAAATACATAAAAAAATGAAACATAATCAATAAAATGACTTCTTGCTTTCTCTTACTTTCTTTAAAAGCAATCATTATATTGCTTTGTTTCTTCTATCTATAAAAAACCAATCATTCATATTTATTAGGATAACTAAGAATCGACTTCGCAGCATCTCTATTTCTTCTCAATCCCAAACTCTTAATCGATCTTCTTGAACTAACCATTGCCGGTTCAGCACCATTATTATTATTCAATTTCCCCAACCACCATTGAGCAAAAATAAACGACCCAATAATCACGGCAATCAAAACCCCCACAATCCCAAAAAACCAAGCTAAAGTATCAATACCTTCACCAGGAACATGTACATTCATCCCAAATAACCCAGTAATAAGATTCAATGGAACAAGCATCGTACCAATCAAAGTCACCTTGGAAAACATTTCCGTAATTCGATTATTCAGATTAAATGATTCAACTTGTAATTGAGCTAAATAATTTGAATGACTTCTTGAAAAAATCTTTTCATAAGCTAATAAATTTTGAAACATGGTAACCACATGATCTTGAATATCTCCTAAATATAATGCTATATCTGCACGTGGACGGGCATTGGTTGGATGTTGATGATGAGGGGTTGTAGCTGTTGTTGCTGCAATAGGTGTAGGTGGAGGGACAATTCCTACGGTTGGAGTTGAAGTTGAAGCTGGGATTGAACCAGGGCCTGGTCCAAAACTGACTCCACCAACCCCACCTTGATTGAAACCAATTGGATATTCCGATTGAAGGTTTACAGTTGACCCTAAAGGTGAAACCTGTTGTTGTTGATGTTGCTGGTGTTGTTGTTGTTGATTGAATTGTTGTTGTTGTTGATTAAATTGTTGTTGTTGTTGAAGGAACTGTTGTTGTTGTTGATGTTGATAATTACTATCCATAGCTTCATCTTGACAACGTTTTGCAAACATTTTAATAACATCGGCTTTACCAGTTAATAATCTCATCAATGCCATAACTTTTCTTCTTGATTCACCAATTCTTTTCAACATATTACTAAAATCAACACTTCTACCAAGGAAAACCGAATCTTCAATTGCATCGGCTTCATATTCAATTCCTGTAATCACGGGAGCAAACCCATCAGTAATATCATCAATCAAGGCATAACAAAGCCAATCAGCACTAACATCAACATATTCTCTCAATTGTCTAACTCTTCTTCTAACATTTGCCGGATGAGTAATTGGTGAAAAATGGAAAGATAAAACCCCTTCCCGGAAAATAACCATATATACATTAATTAATTCCAAATAATCTTCACTTTCTTTATCACCTTCAAATGTATGAAAACAAACAAAATAATAATTTCTAAATAATTCAACCTTTTCACGACGTTCTTGAATTCTAATATCTTCAGCAGTTAAAGGATGAATTCCAAATGCTTTGGCCAACATTTTCATCTCGGCATCAGTGGGACAAGTACAATCCAACCACCAAGTTTCTTCCCCATTTTGAAATAAATCACGTACTGATTGTCCTGGACCAACAAGTGATGGAATATCAGGGGCATGAACCGTTTCTTCTGAATTTGAATGGAAAAAAGAAAATCTATCAGGTAAGGATCCAATAGTACCATCAGTAATACGAGCACCACCAAATTTGACTTGCTCTAAAGTTGAAGAGGTTGTCGATTGGTCATCTTCATGAAGGTGGGGTGACATACCTTTTAATTCATATTCTTCTTCATAAGAAGATGCAGAATCATGAATAGTAGATGGAGCTCTAATGGTTGGTGGTGCTGTTGTTGATGATGGAAAATCATTGGTACTTGTTGCCCTAGTTCTAAATTGAGATAATCTAGTTTGAGTCTTTTTCAAAATATTTTTAGGAGTATATTTTAAAGCAGCATTTGAATGACGGGAAGATGCAGAAGTTGCCAATGCATGATCAATACTAAATCTTTGAGCATTTCTTTCAGCAATCAATTGTTGTTGTTTCATAATCATATTTCTTTCTTCAGTTTCATCTTTAATGAATTCTTCAATTTCATCAAAATCAATACCATTAATTCTAACATGTTCTCTTAATAATGGGAAACAAACATCTTCTTCAGTTTCTTGAGATGATCTAGAAGCATGAGAATCTGCTTCACTATCAATAGAAGATCTTGATTGACGACGCTCACCAGCACCATTACCTTTTTTACCGCCAAAATTAGAAAGGTCACTATCATTAGTTTTACATTTTGTCATTGGACTAACTAAATCACTTTCAAAATTGTTTGAATTGCTACGATGATTACCTTTTGATTTCTTATTGGAAGTTTGAGGTGGACCTAATGAATTCTTATATAAAATCCCAGTTGTTGGTGGAGGAGGAATATCCAGATAAGTTTCATTAACGGAATGGGATTTTCTTCTAGTTACAGTTGAACCAATAGCAGTAGCAGTATTTCTAATTGGCATATTTGGAGATAAAGAAGAAGATAAAGTATCTTCCTCATCTTTAAGATAAAAGTCCCTACGTAAGGATGGCATGTAGTTACGTTGTTGTCTTGAAGCATAATCAGGATTAACATTAGATGGAGTTCTTTTAGAAGGTCTTCTAGAAGGTTTTCTCTTTGATTGTTGAAGTTGGGCATCGTTATCATCAATTTCATCTTCTTCATCTTCATCATCATCATCTGAAATTGCTGAAGAATCATAATTTGGAGGTAAAGACAGTTGATGTCTATGATCATGTAATAATTCATCTGCCTTTGGCATTTGAAGGGCAGAAGAACGGTAGCTTTCGTTATCAGACATTGTTTAATGTTTTGTTATCTTATCTCTTGTTTGTTTAGTAAAAACTGTTGTTAAAGTTGTTTTGTTAGATGATTGTGTGTAGTGGTGTGATTTTCTTTAAAAAGTGTATTTAAAAGAGAAATGATACTAAGGATAATAATAATACACTCATTGATTAATAACAGCAGTAGTAGTGGTAATAGTTGTTATAAGTATATTATCAAGTCTACTTAATTTGTAACTAATAGTTAACATATAGTAAAAAACAATTTATAATAAATAGTTAGAATAGACAAATAGACAAATAGAAAGTAAAAGAGAAGAGAGAAAGTTGAATTTAATTTATAAGATTTTTTTTTTTTTTTTTCAAAATTGTTCTTAGCGCTGGAGTTTTACTCACACATGTGTGTACTACTGCTGTCTTTGTCTTCTCCCTCTTTGTCGCTTTTTTGTTTTCTATCAGGCGAATGAAAAAAAATGAAAAATTATTATTATTTTTAGAATTTCTTTTTTTTTTTTGTTTCTTCTTGTTCTTCTTGAAATGGCTGCAATAATTTATTCATGCCATTCTATGATGGATTATAATAATAAGTTTAAAGTAATAATAATAAATAAAATAATTAACACCCACATGGGCATGGGCAATTACAAACGGCAATTTCATATAAAACTTATAAACTAAATAGAAAGTAAGCCTTGTTTTAGATAGGGATTATTGCTTATTATTATTTTTTTTTTTGTAATGTATAGCAATGTATGATTCATCTCATCTCTCTCTCTCTCTGTCATCTCTTCCTCATACAAACGAAGTGGGGCTTTTAACATAAATGAAAAATCCCTCATTAAATTTATTTCTCTCTTTCTCTTTGTATTTAAAAATAATAAAATAACACAAAGATATACAATAATAAATTTGTTACCGTTTTCTTGTTTTTTATGAAACAATGATTACAAAACAAAGAGAAAGAAAAAAAACTACCACCATCGCCCCCCCTCCTTTCTAATTCAAAATGTCGTGTGATCAATATCCTATTACATATTATTCATCTTTCAAACACATAACAGAACTAATGGAGATATCTATCTATCTCATCTATTTAAATAAGGTTTACATGTAGGATTAATGATTGTTATATATTTCTAGACATCTATCCCACGTTCCTTCATTTCCCCCCAAGGCTTAAATATAGTTTACCTCGGTTATTCTTCTTTTACCAATAATAATAATTTTTCATCCTTATCTCGATAACTTTAAAAGTTACACGAAAATCATTTACAAAAGTCAAACTTTATCGTTGTATACGCTTATGGTAAGGAGTGTTTATTTGCAGCCCCCCCCCTTTCCGCCTTTGTTTCATTAGACAGTAACCCGGACTGAGGTTCCCATACTGCAAGTTACATGCTTGGACCTTCATAGAGTGCAGTCTACTGTTTAAGAATGGTACCACGTTACACTTGTGTTAGGTTGATTTCACGCTTCGTCTGTCACATCTTCATCATACCGTGTCCAGCCTGATTTGGATAAATACCTGTGGATTTCCCCGTCTACGAATAGGAACAGATGAACAAAAGTTCTTCTATGGATCTCACCCTCAAGAGTCCTTCCAGGGTTCTTACAAAAGAGTCCTTCTTGTCCCCCCCCCCCCCCCCCCCCCCCCCCACACCCCCCCCCCCCCCCCCCCCACCCCCCCCCCCCCCCCCCCCCCCCCCCCCCCCNTTTAATTCTTCAGTTTCAGTAACTTGTTCCTTAACCTTCTTGGCCCCCCCCCCCCCCACCCACACACACACACAACTTCTTAGCTTAGTTATATACAACTTCCCTGCCATTTAACCATGGTAAACTACTATTTCAACCCAGATGCGGCTCCTCTCTTACGGTCTTTACCCCTGGGTAATATCTCTCCCTTACATATAAACAATAGGTGCAATTTCCAGCAATATGCAATGACAATAAAATCTTTCTTTTATTCCTTAGCCCCATTCATGGACCTTTGTGGGGTGGTATATGGGATAATAATTTCACCTTCAAAATGAACATCCTCCTCCTGCTCCCACTTTCCCAAATGTCCCATCAACAACATTAAAAACCCACATTAAAGTCTATAATCCCACTCTGTTCTTTGTAAGTCCAATCTTAGACCAAGTCAAACATTCTTCCCTGAAATCAGATAATAAAATCCATCAACCAAACTAGCCATTGGTCTGATGGGCTAATTCAGTATGAAAGATTACATCCAGTATAACTATTGTCTATGACTACGCCTCTCGTCTTTATTGAATTTCAAAAGAAAACTATCCACAAATGACAACACCATCGTTAAAGTCACTATTAAATTCTTTCCAAATGCTACTAAGATCAACCACGGGAATGCAAATCAGATTGGTCAATCCCACTCTTCAACCTAATTCCAACCAAGATAAAGTTAAACCCTCTTCCCTTGAAATCACATAAACCATCCATCCCATAAACCAACCATTGGAAAGATGACTAATCCACTATGAAAAGATTTACCCTATCAATAACATTCAAACTCTTCAACCACTACCACCAACATTCAAATACTTCAACCACCACCAACATTCTAATTCCACGTCAACTACCACCATCAAACTCCAACCTCCACCATGTCAATTCAACTTTCACCACCATCAAACTCCAGCCACCACCACCACCACCACCACCACCACCACCATCAAACTGCTACTTCCACCACCTCCATTCAACTTCCACCACCGCCACCATCGAACTACAAGCTCCACCACCACCACCATCAAATCCAACCTGGATCAATTTACTTAGAGATCAACCAACCCCTTCCCCCCAATATCATCCGATTTGGAATTACAATATATAAAATAAAGATCGAGCCTTGCCCGTTAGCATCAAACTCCAACCACCATCACCGTCAACATTCAAACTTTTCAACCACGACCACCAGCATTCATATCTTCATCCACCACCACCTACATTCAAACTCTTCAACCGCCACCACCAATATTCTAATTCTCGGACCACCACCACTAAAAATTCAAATTCAACAGCATCAAAATTCAAACTCTTCAACCACCACGACCAGCCTTCAAATGCAACACCACCGCCAATCAAACCTTCAACCACCACCATCACCCAAAACATCAAATTCAACACCACCAACATGCAAATCTCCAACTACCCACCATCAACATTCAAATTCAACACCACCCATCGGTATTGTCCAGTTCAAAAGAAATTGAAATCCTCATTTAAGTCTTGATCACACTTTTCATTCTCATTCCAACTTGGATTAGGTCAAATTCTTCTTCCCTTGAAATCAGAATAAAAATCCATGATGCCAAAACTAACCATTGGGGCAGGTGGTTAATTCACAGCCAAAACTCTTTCCAATTTGTATGATCACTAACTCTTAATTTCCATGATTGGTTTATGATTTGATATAACTATGGTTGAAAATATGGTTGAAAATATGGTTGATTTAGAACTCTCGGTTTCCATGATTTTTCTTTGATTTTGATATAAGTTGAAATGTAGTAGATTTGGAATGAATGTGAAAGTTCCCAGATGACAAACTTAGATTAAGTCAAACCTTCATCTCTAGAAATCAGATTAATAATCCATCACACAAAACTACCCGCTGGTCAGACGGTTAATTAAGTATGAAAGAATTTACCCCGATCCATGAAAATTCAGTCGAACCCTCTCCAAATTATGTCATCACCAACTCTTCATTGCTATGACTGGTTTTGTGATTTAATATAAGGATGGTTAAAATTTCTTGATTTTGGCGGTTGTTGTTGAATGTTTAAATTCTTGACAGGAAGGAAAATCTTGGTGATTAACTTCAAAGGGGTATCTGCAACTGCAAGGGGTTGGTTGTGGATAAAGGAGTAGTAGTGTTGGAGTATTGGAAGGTTGGGAAGATGTTTTCAGTTTTGTTTCTGTGGCGGTTTTTTTTGGCAGCCAAATTGACTTCATCTTCTTTTCTAACAAACTTCTTCAAGTTGACAATTTTTCTTTGAACATAATGATAGACGCAATGACCCTTTTGATGGATTGATGACAATTGATGTGGGTTTGGATAAACTGAGTATAATTGTATATGAAAGTGGTACCTTTCTTTGTGGAATCTGAGGGTTTAAAATATAAATTTATTAAAATGTTGCAAAAAAATAGCGAGGGAGAAAATAGAGATCTGGAACAAAGAATTTGCACTATTTTTTGTATGGAAAAACAAGCTAAAGTGGCCGCCTAAAAGGCGGCCCACCGCTCACTGTTGAGTGAAAGAAAAAATTTAATAAGAACAAATGAATTAATACACAATAAATAACTAATATAACAATAAACACTAACAAAAATGACAACAAACAGTAACAAATATCTAAGGTGAGAATATTTCAGGATAAACTTCATTCTGAGTCTTTAACAAAAATGACAACAAACAGTAACAAATATCTAAGGTGAGAATATTTCAGGATAAACTTCATTCTGAGTCTTTAACAAAAATGACAACAAACAGTAACAAATATCTAAGGTGAGAATATTTCAGGATAAACTTCATTCTGAGTCTTTCTCTTGTTCTCGCCTAAAAACACGTGCAAATTAGAGGCTTTAGTAACCCTTGAAAGTGCAACATATAATTGACCGTGAGAAAAAGCTTCTGAAGATAAATCCAAGCCAACTCTAGTTAAAGATTGCCCCTGGGACTTGTTAATTGTAAACCCAAACAAAGAACAAAACCAAAATCTTCATTTATAAATTTGATTCTGGGAATCAATCTATACTCGCCTTGAAAACGCCCCGAAATAATTTGAGCTTCTAAAACATGACGGGACAAACCTGTAATGATCATCCTTGTTCCGTTACATAATCCATTAGCTGGATCCAAGTTTCTGAGCAACATAATGGGGGCGTTTTTCTTCAATTTCAAAGTTGCTAAGGGAAGAGAAGAATTGTTCAATGCATGTAAATATTCTGGAGGTAAATTCCTGTTATCAGTAGCACCATTTAAACCATCATCCACTTCATTAATTGACTCAAAAACTGTGCATTCTCCAGGTAATCTCTCAAGTAACATATCATTGAGATCTTTGAGTCGCTCATTTTTTCTCATTATAAACATCAATTGAGTTAACTTGGTTTATATAATCGGGTAACTTAATTGAACCATGTAAGTTCTGATCATACGGCATTCTACTCAACCAATTGGCATAAGCTACATCTTCAGAAGATCTACCGAGTCTCATATTCTGCGATAATTTCAATTCCTGAACATAATGCCATAAGAATGACTTCTTAAGAGAGGCATCGACCACATGACCACGACCACCTCTTTCAATTAAGTTACCCGATTATATAAACCATGTTAACTCAATTGATGATTTATTAGAAAGTATATTTCCCCAAAGTTTGAGCCCAATCACCACCCATGACAACCGGCACACCACCAAAAGGAAGATGCAGCTAATGCACGTATTAGGACGGCTGATGATCTTCGCTACGGATTTTAGTTTTATACATTCCAACAAAAGGATTTTCAGTCTAAAATTCTTCTCGATGGGAGAAAGACCCTCAAATAATTGTTTAAGGAATGGAGGAGGTTCTTCAAAATCAGCAAATTTAATTCGACCCTATTTACAGCAGTTGGAATATTTTGAACTACCTGTTGATAATTCATCTCTCCAGTGTAAAGCACCACAATAAGGGCATTCAGCACCCATTACACCTAGTCTTATAGGGGTAGCTTGTTCCTTATGAAATTCCTTATGAAAAATCGAGATTTTTGTACCCTATATAAACTGAATAGCATAAGGTCGTGCAAGGTGGTTCAAAAAAAATTATGAAAAAGAGGACTTTTTTGTATTATTAGAGATATAAACTGAATAGCATAAGGTCGTGCAAGGTGGTTCAAAAAAAATTATGAAAAAGAGGACTTTTTTGTATTATTAGAGATTTAAATTAAAAAAAATTATTATTATTATTTTTTTTTTTTTTTCATTTAATTTTAAATTGTTAGTTGAAAATTTTGAGAAGTTCCAAAAGGTGAATGTATTAATTACATACTAAGTAAAAGTATGGAATATCAATAGATATACAAATGTATACAATACCCTCAGAGGCTGAGCGAGTTTAATTCATAAAATAGACATATTAATTTTGAATCCAATTTATAGTATGAGGTGTCCATTTTGCAATCATTTTATTAGGGTACAATTATTTTATAAGGATCCACCAACCCCCTATTCTCTTCATTTACGAAGATATTTATTGAAATAAACAAGAAAAGTTTTCCAAAAGATGTCTTCAATTGATTTAAGAATGTAAAGTAATACAATTCGATAGAAATACCCAAACCAGTGGGAAGTTGTACGAGCAATATTTGGTATGTGAAACATCAATTACTGAACTACATATCTCTCATTATGTTTCTACAATCCCAATCCCTCATTCAATTATTCATAGATGAATATGTTCCAATGCAAATATCATCTATCCATTTCTGCCGAAATCAGATGTTAACTAAATAATAGGCATCTACTGTAAGTTATAAAATTAGAGTGCATTATTGACTACCAACAAACATTACAGTCTTGGTGCTTCCCAAAGGGGAAATCATTCCAGGTTTCGAGAATTGTTCTATCAAACACAGAAACCTTGATATTTTGTACAAAATAAAGCAGGTCCTTTGAACATATAAGTTATATCATGCTATTTGTGATATAATTTAGTCTACCCCATATATATAAGATTAAGATTACTTTCATAATGTCAGATACTGGATGGTAATTTTTAAAACAACTTTTTGGTGGGGCGGTTCCCCACTTTTTATTTTTTTTAGAGTTTGAAAATATTTTGCAAATTTATACAAGCGAATTAAATGTGATTACTTTCCAAAGCAACTGAAACAATCTTAGTAGAGTTACGTTCACTATATATATATACATAGGACCATACTATATGAATACTGTAGAGGAATTTATAGCTTTAGATGTTTTCAATTTATTAAATTACCAATCCCCACACCCCGCCCGCCACCACTACTTGAAACAATTGATTAGTAATTTTCTGATTGGCGAGAACAATAAACTGTGAACATGTCATTGCTTCTTGAATACTCAGAAACACCCCAAGCCTTGAAAGATTGTATGATTTAATTCATTTAAAAGGGGACCATTTTCCATTACCATTTT